GAACTGAAATAATTTTGTGGAAAAATTTTTTCAATTTTTTAATTTTTGGTAGTTTATCTTTTCGGCTTTTTCGGGTCTTTTCCTAATTTAAAATTCATTAACTTAAAATTCTAGTGCTCTATGAATCAGAAATTATGACAAACTTTCCACAAACCTGTAAAAAGACCAATTTTTCAGGAACTGCTTTGAAACATCCGCTAAAATGTTGTAGGGCTTATCGTGGTATTTCGCCAACACCTGAAAAATTATAAAAAAATTCAACGATCGCATTTCATCAGTCAAAAATCAAGATTCTCTTCTCATAACTCACTCAAAATGAGAGAAGAATGGATGAGTACTTCGGATTTCATGTGGAAATCCCGAATTCTACGTGTTTCAACATGCAAATGATCGGTTCCCCGGAAGCAACAAAAATACTGTTTTAGCTTTACCTGATCAACGACAGCTTCCATCCATTCAGCCCACTGCTCCAAACTCTTCTGCTTCTGCAGATTTTCTCGAAAATCGGATTGAAGATTGGAAACCAGCACCGGGTCACAATCGCATATCCAACTGGAAATGACAAAATTACACGAAAAGAAAAAAAAAACTTGTGAATGTGCTAATAAAAATTTCTCGCTAGCAAAGGTACCAACGGCCCTCTCATAAAGTTACAAGCAAGCTGATGGCACGTTTTCCCAAATATATGCCAGTACTAGTTAAATCAAAACGAATCAGGGAGCCGTAGAAAGATTAACTGCCACAATTACTGTGCAGCCGGAGCAATACTTTTCTCCGAGCTATGTTTGCCCACCAATTTTACCAGTAATTTAAAAAAAAAGCAAAAAAGTAATCCTTTCCATCAACTTCCTAAAAATGTTGCCTTATCAGAAGAAAAAAAAATATACCCGGCTTGGTCCTGAACATTAGCTATATCAACACGATTAAAATCCTGAAACATTTGCTGAATTTGATCCGGTTTCTGGAGGACACCACGTGCAGCGGAAGCTAAATGATTCAGCGAAGTATATCGTCTCAATGTTTGTGCCAATGTGCGTACAGCAAACAGTTTCTTTTTTTGTATCACATCGGGCGCTCCTTGCATTGCTTTCTTCAACTGTACTTCCAGGGATTTCGCAAAATTGCGAATTTGCAAGGTTAGCGCACCTGAAACTGTACAGCAATGGAATACTGCTGATAACAAATATCACTGTTATCAGAAGTGCGATTGCGTTCCTCTCCACGGCAGGCTAATAACGCCAAACAAACTGCATATGTTAACATATAGAAGATTTCAGGCCCCTGTCCTCTTTCACTCTCCTAGCTGGGGATATTCACTGATTGTATCTTTAAAATTTCCACAATACTTATCAAAATACCAAACTTAAGAATTTAAAAAATGCGATGTGATTCAGCGAAAGGAAAAGAAACCAGGCTTAAACGCACCAGGCCGGCCCGTGCGATTATGCGTTTTTGCACAGGACTTGAAGTACTCAGGTCATTA